GATCTCGATGATCAGTTGAGGGACGCTAATTCGCAAAATATGGTGAGTTTTAACTACTTGTTTTTCTTTGGGGGTGCGCCCCCTTCCCACGCCCGTCCTCTAGATACTTTACTGGAAAATGTACGGTACCTTTAGATGGCCGGAAATGACACTTTTATATAGTAAAATTCATCATCACACCATCATGTCTAGATGAAGCACAGCAAATTTCTCATGATTTTTAATCAGGTATGTTCGGCAACCACAGAGATCTAATTATTATGAGTGATGTACCGTACCATAGAAAAAAAACTAAAGAAACACTTTCTTTGATGTATTTAATTTATTTGACCTACCTCAAAGCTGTGTGGCCACATTCACCCCAGCCCCACCATGGTTGGGGCTGAGGTGAGCAAATTTAAAGAAATAGTACCTCTAAATGGCCGGAAATGACACAAAATTCTTGATCATCACCAACATTATATAGTCAAAATGAAGCGCCAACAAATTCTTATTATCTTTCATCAGCTATTTTCGGCAACCACAGGGATCTAATGTGAGATGTACGGTACCATAGAAAATAGAAAAACATGTCTTTGATGTATTTATATTACATACTTCAAAAGTGTGGAGTCCACACGCATCTCAGCTCCACCACAGTTGTGGCTGAGGTGGTAAAATTTGGGGACATAGATTGCCGGATATGACAATTTTATATGTAGAATTCATTATTATTCATCTAATTAATCATGTGGACCCCAGAAGGCAGGCAAATAAGAGGAAGGCCAATAACCACCTGGAGAAGAACAACTGAAAAAGAAAGAAATGAATTTGGATGGAGAACCTGGGGTGAAGCTTCAGTACGGTAGTGGCCAGAGACAGGAAATGGAAAAACATTAGGCCTACTCAACAAAGCTTCAATCTCCACAGTTAGGAGAAAGGAGCGGTAAGGTAAGGTAATTACCGTGCTCGCGCGAATAAGCGCCCCGTTTGAATAAGCGCCCTTCCTAACGTAAAAATGTCCTTAAGCGCCCCGTTTGAATAAGCGCCCACTTCTAATTTGAATAAGCGCCCCTCAATAATTTTTATAAATAATTAAAAATCTTAAAAAAATAATTAAGATCTTTTTAACAAGTCAATAACTGTGGTTGTTGGCATGATTTGAGCTGCAGAGTGGAAACACATTCTTCATAGGTCAATATCAAAAATGAGGATATTTCTCTTGGACTGATGAGAGCTCCGATCCCTGGACAGACAGTATATTTCCAACTTTACTCTTTTTACATGTCTATGCCTAGTTCTACTCCTCTTTTTCTTTTCTCGACCCTTAGCACATTCTCATATAAGTTTCAAGAAAAAATACAATGATCCTGCTAATCTCAATCGGCCGATGGCCAACAAGCTAACCACTACCCACCACCACTATTGCATCTATTTTGCTATTATGACATTCACGCATTCTTGTCATGAGCCATGTTCTCTGGACGATTATCTTTTCCGCCTAACTACAGTACCATTCGTAATGTCCTTAAATAATTTTTTTTTTTCATTCAAAAAGAACCCCTCGATTTTCATCTATTTCTATAAGCGCCTCCTCAATTTCCACTCTATTTTCACAAGCGCCCCGTTCGAATAAGTGCCCCGTTTGAATAAGCGCCCCCTGAGAAAGTGCAAAAACCGGTCCCGCTTGGATAAAATTGGTCCGTGTCAGCCTGGCCACTTCATTTGTAACTCGTCTGCTGCTAGTAGGGTATGATTGTATCTCCCGTGGAGTGGCTGAGAAATTATGCTTCTCCCACACTTGCAAAGTCTTTTGCAGTGACAGAATGATTCGTTAAGCTTTTGAGGAAGTGTTTTATCAAACCACCAGATACTGGTAATGCATTTCCTAGGCGATACACACACAGCGTGCATCATTTTCGGCGGCCGTGGTTAGGCCTACGTTTGGGCCTAAAATTAAACACAAGACTGATTTATTAGTTTTAAAGATTCCGTATTATTGTGTGGGGTATTGGGTCATACAATAGATGTTTTAATACATGAAATAAAGGGGTAAGCATTCTCAGAATTGAATGCAGTACTTTGTCGCGGAGCATACACAACCAAAACAAAACAAGGTAAAAAAATGAACTACAGCGGACCAACACGATTTAAGACCACATCGTATAAACTTCTTTCGTACTTTCACACCAAAGGGTTTACAGTGACTGGGCGAAGCTTTACTTAATTTTCACCAGTGATTTTCATCCTATGATTTCACACATAAATAACGAATGAAAACATATTAGGCTATATAATAAGAGATAAGATATTTATCTATCATTTGATTACAAAAAAATATGAACAACGTTATAAAAATACAAGTTATAACTATTAAATAGACGCCGGACCAATTTTGGCTTATGTGGACTATTTGGCAGGTAATTTTAAAGCCAAAAACGGTCCAGCGGACCGATTTTGGCCCCTGACCAAATTTTTCCTGACAGGCCTACCGCGCTCTTCTGTTAAAACCTAAGTCATTTATGCAGTTTATTTCAACAATTTTCAGGCATATGTTCTTGATTACCGAAAATTGAGGGGACCAACCCTTTCCCTTAAAAATATGTGGGGGGGGGGGGGGGGGACATGTTCCACTTTCCCAGTGATCTGTGCCCATGGGTCCGTGAAGAGTCCCACATCACCTCAGCGCCATCATGGTTGAGGCTGAGGTGCGAAGATTTTGAGAATATCGAGCTCTGGGTGCCAGGAAATTGCACTCTCATAATTTACCAATTATTCATGTCAACAATATAATACAACAATTATTTTTCTTAATAGAATTTAGTGGGTGCAACCGCACCCTCTGCTCCCCCCCCCCCCGCATCCGCCCCATCTTGCCTGGCCTACACACACCTATTATGAGGCATTAGACAAGTACGTGCGATAGGAATTTCCTCCTTTGTGAGATGAGATCAGCCAGACGTTTTCTACATCAATATACAGTAGTGTTGAGCTAGCTTATTTATTGCTGCGAAGCAGCCAATTCATATTCTTGACAGCAATTTGACCTCTGAAAGGTCATTGTTAGTCCAAAAAAATGGCCTAAGACAACTGAAAAGCGGAGTTTCCTTCTTTCGTTCTGCCGGGTAAAATCAATTACTTTAGGCGACGTTTGTAGACTAACCTACTCGTACCAACGTCCGCATGTCGCGACGCTGGTATTCAGCGTTTTTACTATATTTCTAGGTTTCCTATTTCTACGTTTAATCGGCTCATGTCTCAGCCACAATATTTTGAGGCCAATATTATTTACGAACCCAGTTAAACTTATTTACTAGCCTATTTCAACGTGCTAATTATTACATTTAGGCGACGCTTGTTGTAGACTGGCATAGTGTTTTCATTTTATACACATGCGCAGATCGATTCGCCAGCAGCGAGTCATCGCCAGCAGCAGCGAGTCGCCAGCAGAGAGATGTCACTGCAGCAAAACACTATTGTACACGGTACCAACGCTCTAGATGTGTATAAGAGACAGGTACCAACGCTGTTCTAATATAGACAATGGGTCGTGCTCATATTATTTGTTATATTTTTATTATTCATTATTTTTACTTGACTCGCATAAATAATTTTGTTCGAAGAACATTTTATGCAATTGTACTTCGCAGCACTTCACTTGCAATTTTCAATTTCTAGTTTATTATTTATTTGTTATTTATACTGGGTTTCCTCTTCAGTTACAAATTACTGCTCTCCCAGAGGGCCCAGTACACATAGAACAGTCCACGACACACAAGACAAACATACACACATGATGCTTTACACAAACTAAATCTCAACATGAGGTTTAGAGAGTGGAGTTGTTTTGGTCGTGAGAAAAAGCAAACATCTTAACCACCAAGCTATTGGTGGTTAAGATCCATAGGCTCAGAGATTGCGTCATAGGGAAATCCCCTGTTTGGTGCGCATTTATACCCGCTCATAAAACCCAGCGGCCTGTTTATAAATAGTTGATAACCGATTGTAATTTGAATTCATCATAAAAATATTCAATAAATAAAATTTAAAAATAAATAAATAAAAAAACCCGGGTTTTCGTAAGGCTTGTTATCGTTCTGTATGTATTTTGTATTATAAAGATATGAATTTGCGTCAGGAAACATCATAAGTGATGTTTTGCCCTACCCTTTTCGTTCGATTCCCACCCGAATCACTTGCGAATTTTTTCGCTAATATTTGGGGACGTACTGAGTATTCGGTACGATAAAACGTCAGGTAGGGCAAAACATCACTACTATTTTGTATTATGTTATCTGGAAATTAATAGGCTTACTGAACGTAATTAAAGAACTAAAATGAAAGTTCATAGGTCAGTTACCAGACAAGGCCTCTTAGTTTTCCAGATTGTCTTTGTTAACAACAATAAACAGGCCCGTAGCCAGGTTCTTCCAAGGGGGGGGGGGGGTGGAGGGGGGGGGGGGGGGTTTCTGGGCGGGAGGTCCACGGTCGAAGCCCCGGTGGGGTCGGCGAAACCCCCAAAAGCAAAGGGATTTTTGTGCTTTATGGGTCTGAATAATGCTATAAAAGCATATGTTTGAAAAGGTCTTTGTCTGGGTGTGTCTGCAGTGCATTAGTTGGGTTGGAGGACTTATTTGGGAAATTTGAAGAGGGGGTTCGCCAGAAAAGAGGGGGATTTGCTAGAAAAGGGAGGGGGGCTCTCCCGAACCATAAAACCCCCCTGGATACGGGCCTGATAAAGATAGTCGACGTGAACCTGTATTTACCTGGACAATTCTTGAACTTCACTGATTTTGAATACACACAAGACAACAAAAGCGCAACCAGCGTAATTTCATGAAGAAAATGCATGTTGTTTGAGTACAATGTTCTCTTCTCCGGGCTTTATAGGTATGGAAGAAGAGTATAGGCTAATAGTCCGTCAAGAAAATCAAGTCAACTGGTATTTTTCTCAGCATACATACAGTTCCTGGTCTATACCGAGGCTCCTCTCAATCACGTCATATCACGAGATTTAAATGTCTTTTGCAGCTGGTTTAACAATCATAAGCGCAAGTGCGCCACCTAGGGCTGACATCGCAAATTGTTGGCGTGATTCGTGATTATAACCATGTCATCAATTGCTACTTCTCGCATTATTAGCAGGGGCGGATCAAGAGATGTCCGAAAGAGGGTGAGGATGGGCGCAAAAGGGGGAAAAAGTTGAGACCGATCAAGATAATACCGCCCTAGGGGTCCGGGGGCATGCCCCCGCGATTTTTTTTAGACACCCGAAAATAACCTCTGGGGCGCTTTTGGACGATCAATTTTTTTCCTTTTTTTCTGTCTGTTTTATTTTACTTTCCAAAAGAGGGATAGGGCCGGCCCTGTC